ATGGGGAAAATCCCAAGAAACTCTAATAAGATTAGAACTGGTCTGCTACAAAATCACAACATGAGATGGACATACAAATCCCAACTGCTTTCCTCTAGCAAGAAATCATAAAAAACAAAACAAAGGACGATTCACAATATTATCAACCAGAACGAAATGCTAAGGAATAAATTTAACAAAAGAAGTGTAAGGTTCTGTACTCTGAAAAACGTAAACACTGCTAAAAGGAACTTTGCAAGACTGAAATAAACAGAGAGACACTGAATGTTCTCAGGCAGTCGGATTTCACATTATTAATGTGGGCAACCATGGATATTTTACCACATGCTGGTGCTCAGTACTGAGTCCATAGGGAAACATTAACTTCTGCCCTCAGGCTACAGTAGCTCCACAGACATCACTAGGTCACCTAGTCCTCCGCATATCTGAGAGAATATCCCTCCTTCCCCATCCCAATATAATGTCAAAAGCCTCTTTTAGTACAAATATATGTATTTTTCTGACACCCTTACCACTAAACCCTAATTAGTTTATACACATTTGTTAACCCTACTCAGAAGGACTGTTTATTTTTTTTAACAACACCAGGAATATTAAACCCTATTGATATAGGGGAAGTACTATAACTCCCAACCTGGTATATAGCAGATACCGAGTTCATGTTTCCTAAAATCGAAGGATGAATTCTAAGGAACAATGGAGGTTAAGAGTAGGAAATATTTATTGAGAGGGAGAGATCTTAGCTCCCAAGAGACAGGAGGGGGCCCAAGTGGGTTGCTAGGAATTCCATTTCACAGGGGAAGTCTTACAGAGCAAAATCACAAGGTGGGTACAACGTGGGGCAAAACTATGATCAACCAATAAGATTACAAGTATAGCTGCTTAGGTAATATTGACCCAATGGGGAAGCAGGTTATGTAGCAAGTGTATGTGGACAGGACAAAACTTTTTCAGGAAGTGGTGGATCCAGAGGTCCTAGTTACCCTCTGGGGTGACTGATGTCTATCTAGACTTTATTGGGCCAGGTGTTACCACTTATCCCTTGGGGAGTATGCAGGCCTGGTCATTTCTCTTTATCTTGAGGCCTGATGCCCCTCCAACAACAGTTATAATGTGTTTTCATCTTTTGTACTGACTCTCTCAGAGGCCTAGCCCTGTTTGACTGCCTATAATATTTCTACCTAACTTAGCTGTCTATAATACTATCAAATTTTTTTTTTTTAGGTAACAGGGATCGAACTCAGGTCCTTGCACTTGCACAGCAGGCGGTGAAACCACTGAGCTAAATCCCCGGGCCCTATCAATTTTTTTTTTGTACCGGGGATTGAACTCGGGACCTTGCACTTGTGAGGCAGGCACCAAAACCACTGAGCTAAATCCTAATACTATCAAAAGAAAACATCACTCAGACTTCAAACATTTGGCTATCCTCAAAATCGAGACTGATGGACAGGACACTAAAGCCATGAAGATCTGGTAACAGCATTCCTGAGAAAATGTTCCTACATTTCCTAACTTACACTGAAACCAAATATACAGGTCATTGCTTTTCTCCAGCCAGTGTATTCCTCTTGGAATTTGCATGGTACTGTCTAGAAGAGCTATCAATAAACTTCTAATTATTCTATAGTCCTCATCTACTGGGTAAATTCTTTTCACCTCCCAATATTGTAGACAGCTAAGTTAGTCAGACATAACATAGGCAGTTAGGCAAGGCCTGGCCCTCCAGGAAATCAGCCCAGAAAACAATTGTGGCCAGAGGCACATTCACTGAAAGCCAGGATTCAAGAAAAAGAGGAACCACTACACCCACATCCTTCCCCTAGGGATGAACAGCAGTGATTGATATTCTAAATAGGCATCAGTCACCTGGGAGGGGGACCAAGACCTCCCTGGCCCATTCCTTCCCAGAAGTCCCTGTTCATCCCCCATTCCCCCCCCCACACTTGCTACCTGACTTGTTTCCCTCTTTGGTCCCACTTAATCCATATTATATTTGTTGTAAATGTTGGTTGACTGTAGTTTTGTCCCACCTCATGCCCACCCTGTGATTTCCCATTGGATTAATATTACTGTCAGGCTTGACCTGGTCATGAAATAGTGAATAAGCTCTTTAATTCCAAGCTACAGTTTGACGAGATACAAAAATCCACACCAAATCATGGGCCGGGGATTTAGCTCAGTGATTTCGCTGCCTGGTGCGCAAGCGCAAGGACCCGAGTTCGATCTCCGGCACCAAAAAAAAACACAAAAAAAACCCAAATCAGGCAGCAGTGCAGCGGCAGTCTCTGCCTGACAAAAGCTGTGCTATCTCAGAGCAGATAGAACACGGAACACAGGATGGGATGTTCCCAACGTAGCAATAACTACAAAGTACAGCATCTTTTCAATGCCAAGTCACCTAAAAATATTCACACATCTGCCTCGATCAGTGCATGGACCCCGGCCACAAGTATTTGCTCTGATCCCCATGCATAACAGACGTGCCAGAACTCTCTTCCAACGCCCTATAAAGAAAGATTCTTGCCTTTTCTTTCTTCCTCTGCCCAGGTGAATAGTCTGTACTCTTCGTTTTCACTAGCCTGCTCCTATGGTCTCATTCTTCCACTGTTTGTTACAATTATCTAAGTGACTATATTTGTAATCTTATTCGTTGGGTATAGTTTTGTCTCACCTTGAACCCACCTCACCTCATCGCTTTGCTCAATTAAACACCCTTAAGAAGCAGGGTCCCTGGCCACCCACTCAGGAACCCTTCTGTCTCTCTTAGAAGCTATCTTTCTCTCAATAAATTCCTCCTACTCTTAAACTCCGTTGTTGCTAGAATTTGTTCTTCAATTTTAGAGAACAAGAACTCCCAGTGCCGGACATGGAGCAGGTTGGGAGTTACAATGTTTCCCTTACATTATTTGGAGGTCCACATATCACACCCCTGTATCACGTGGCACCAGCCTCTGACACACAGCGTCTGGTCTAGCAATGGGTAAGGGGTAGGGGGTGGTACAGGCCATAATCCCAGCACTGAAGAAGGGGGGGGGGGGCACAAGTTCAAGCCCAGGCTGGCCAATTGAGTGATTTAGGGCATATCCGTCTGTCAGGAGCAATGCTATATAATTTTAGGGTAAAATCATTTGGTTAGCCTAGTTCTCCTGCCTACAGCCCAGCTATGGAATTCAGAGACCTAATTCCATTTTGGCCTCCGGTCACAACTGAGACCTCAAGGATCCGGTGATGCTGTGATTCTCCAGGACAAGATTACACCGGGGAAGACACCCGGGAGGAACAAAATCTTCATCTACTCAGTTCCTCATTGTTCTTGGATGTTACATCTTGTTTACGCGGATGTACTGAACTCTCTCCAAGTCATTTGTTACATTTGTTTCTCCCGATGTACTGAATAAAAGGTGCGGTAAACTGGGGGCTTTGGTCTTTGCCGCCCAGAGCAGCACTGATCAGATCCACAGCTCAGCTTCTTCTCAGTCTCCTTTTTCTACCTTTCCTGTAATTCGCCTTGTGCTGCTGTGGCTCGCAGGAGACTAGCACTTACTGCAGAGGTTCTGGTAACGTCCCCTTTCCCTGTTCCCTACACCTGCCTCAAAAAAAAAAAAAAAAGCTGGGGACATAGCTCAGTATGAAGGCCCAGAGTTTAAACCCGAGTTTAAACACACACAAACACAAAAGGCATGATTTCTGTTTTTTCCCAAGATAGACAAGGACTTAAAAGTGATTATTTACTAAAATCCAAGACTCTTTCACCTAGACCTACAAATAGGTGACAGAAGTAAAACAAAGCTTTTATTTTGTAAAACTCCGGGTCAAACTCTTCTCGGCTCTCCCTATAGACATGCTAATCATTTAGGGAGTGTCTGCCTAAAGGTTGGCAGAACAAAGTTTATTGGCCACAAATTTACCCAGCCAATCTCATCCTCCTTCAAGATTAAGACAGCAAGCTAAGAATACCAGGGCTGGGGATTTAGCTCAGTGGTTTCCACCGCCTGTGGCGTTAAGCGCAAGGACCCGTGTTCGATCCCCAGTACCAAAAAAAAAAAAAAAAAAAGACTATCAGGAGCCCTGTAATTTTCAGGGTCCACAGAACTTCTATCTAATTCTCAGCTTGTACACGTCCAGCTCCACACCGGCCTCCCCTCCCTGGAGTAGAGCTCGAAATCTCCAGCCATCCCATTGATACTCGTCAAGCAAAACAACTAGCCAAGGGCACGGGGCCATCCCTCCCACTAAGATTCCCAGGCCAGCCCTAGGAAGCCATGGCTGCGACTCCAACCAAGCAGGCCGAGCCACCTCCCCCAACCCCCAATTGGACCTGCTCCTGGGGTGGCCAGTCTGAACCCCTGCATCAGAGCGCGCCCCCTCCGGCCATCCAAGACATAGCTTTTCCCTATTTTTTTTTTTAATAAATTTTATTTTATCCCATTGCCCCCTTCAAGCTACCAATTTGTTCTTATTTTACTTGTTAGAGGACCAGGTTGATCCTGCCCAGATGCCCAGAGCTGCGTCCCCTTTCTCTTACTTTTAAAGTTTCTTCTTGCACACTTACGCTCTAGTTGTAACTTCCATTACCACTAAAGCAGGGACCCACACCAACCAGGGGTGGTGTAACCAAGGCAGCAAAGAAGCTGCTTCTCCCAACTTCCTCCTGCCTGAGGGACAAACCGCCACCCCTCCCACTTCCCCACCCAAAAGGATGGAACAGTGTGCAGATGCTGGCCGAAGCGGGGTCCGGTGCAGTTTCAGGCCTTGGAAAGAGCAGAAAACTTGGAGGAGGAATGAATCAAGTGTGCTGTCCCACTCGGTACCCTCGAAACTCTTTCCTGCTCTGGGAGGCCCTTCCACACCTGGACACAGTGAGGTGAGTCCCAAGGCCCCTCCATCTCCTCGGAGTAGCTCTGAATAAAGCGCTTCTCCTTTTCAGCACGCTTCCCAGGGTTTGGGGGTAGCAGGAGGCCGCCAGGACTTGAACGGCCCGTGAGAAGACAACTTACCAGGTGTCTTCGCTGTAAGGAGCGGAGGAAAGCTGTTTTCCAAGAGGCTGTTCACAGGAGGCGCTCTGTTCCACAACCACCAAAAGGGAAAGGGGCCGGCCGGGGGCTGCTGCGGGCCACCGAGGAGTGCAGGAGCCTGCTGCTGGGTGAGGGCCAAGTACCAGAAGTTGTAGGAAGCAGCATATGGACTGTAGGAGCTGGAGGCTGCAAAGTTAAACATGGTGCAGGAGCCTGAGGTGAGCGCAGGGCTGGCAGGAAGTAGAATCCCTTTCTTCGCACAGTGCCTCTCTAGCGCCCTCTACTGACAGAGTTTCGGCGCCAAGGAGCCAAAGATTAAAAAAAAATAGCCAGACCTGGTGACACAGGGAGGCTGAGACAGGAGGATTGCCTGAGCTACATCGTGCGTTAAAGACCAGCCTGAACTACAAAGTGAGACTCTGTCTCCAAAAAACAAAACAATAAAGTAAACCATAGTGGATTCAAGGCCAACCATAGTGGATTACATAGATGGTATCTAAAAAACAACAAAAGGTCCAGAGGCAGGTGTGGTGGTGCACACTGGTAATCCCAGCGTTTGGGAGGCTGAGGTGAGAGGATCACCACCAGTTGAGCCCAGCCTGGGCTACATGGTGAGTTCAAGGCCAACCTAGAATATATAGCAAGACCCAGTCTCAAAAAAAAAAGAAAAAGAAAAATATATCATGTACAGGTAACATTCCATATGATGAATATGATCATTATGTATATCTAAAGTGTACCAGTAAAATTAATTTCTAAAATATAAAAAAAAACTTAACTCCCAGAAAAAATAAAGTTATTTATATGGTTAACTAATAATCTCAATGGCAACAAGATGAAGACTTTCCTGCATTTGTAAGCTTCGGACAAGCTTCCTACTTCTACCCAACTTGGTCTTTGCTTGTCTCTTTAAGGTCAGCCTGAGGCACCATTGAGACCACCAAGGCAGGCAAAGTTCAAGCAACCGGTGAAGAGTTTATTGCAGTCTGGGTACAGACGGGCCAACGGTGAAAAGACAATTTGCCGGGCTGGGGATTTAGCTCAGTGGTTCTGGCGCCTGCCTTGCATGCGCAAGGTCCTGAGTTCGATCCCCGGTACCAAAAAAAAGAAACAACAATTTGCCTGGAGAGGAGGGTGTGCAGGGTTGACATAGGGGAATGTAGAATGAGGAGAGGGGCACTGGTCGAGAGGGTGGAAAACTTTAGAGTCCCAGGAGTGATGGGCCTGGGGCTGGCTGATAAACAAGGCAGTCATAGGAGCAGGGCAGAGGTGGTTACAGCATTTCGTAGAATCAGCTCCCCCACCCCTCAACAGGGATGGAACTCAGGACCTGGCGCTTGCCAGGCAGGCAGGGCACCACTGAGCTACATCCCCAGCCCAGAGAATCAGCTTTCTTTTTTTTTTAATAAATAATTCCTTTATTATATAAATAATGAAAGTACATAAAGATGGAAAAGTTTTCTTTGAACAAAAATTAAACACAGCTGCTCAACATAACATAACACAATGGCCAATGCTTGGATTTTCTCTTCAAACAATGGTACAACAGCATATATACAGCCTGATAGTGGGAGGGGCCAGCACTGAGGACTGAACCCAGGGCCTTCACACTAAGCTACGTTCCCAATCCTTTTTAAAATTTTGAGATGTCTCACTAAATCTCTAAATTCCCCAGGCTGGGCTGTAACTTTGCTCCTCCTGCCTCAGCCTCCCAGAGTGCTCGGATTACAGGCCTGTGCTACCAAGTCTAGTTCTGGTTTTGTAGTACTTCATTGTTCCTAAAAGCATATTACATCAACCTTTACTTATTTATTTAATTACATCTGATATTACACTAATCATAATCTTTTTAATGTTTAAATACCATTAGAGGGCCGGGGATTTAACTCAGTGGTTTCGCCGCCTGCTGCACAAGTGCAAGGACCCGAGTTCGATCTCCGGTACCAAAAATAAGTGAATAAATAAATAAACACCATTAGAATTCAACTTTGATCATTTGTGGAAATTTCCATGCAGGCTCAGTGAAAAATCTCCACATGTTTACATATTTTCCTCTTCAGAGAAGTCACCTCTAGACCTCTTGGATATATCACTCTTTCCTACAAAAATGTAAGCAACTCATAAGTTCTCTGAATTTCAGTATTGAGTAGTTACTCATGTTGTCTTTCCACGTTTCCTAAGTTCTCAATTTGTCGTAATAACTTCCTTTTATCAAGTTGAAATCTGATCCGTTGCTTTTAAATAACTTTCTTTTTTTCCATATTTCTTTCCAGGAGTCTTCGAGTTTTTCCAAATAACTTTCTTTTTCAGATTCTTCCTTCCATATTCCGTCTCCTTTTTTTTATAGCCGTTAATTCAGTTTTAAGTAATTTTCTGTGAATTGTCCAGTAAGTTTTGGAATTATAATTAAGCCCTTTAACAAGAACAGTTTTGCCAGGCCTCTTTGCAAAATTTCTTCGTTCAGATTCACGCTAAAATATCCACCCTTATTCACTAAAAGGTAGCAAAAGAGCACTGAATTCTCCTTTCCAAGAAGTTGGAACCATAGTACTTGGGACGCTTTGAGCTCTTTCTGTATCCGTACCTTCCCAGCTGCAGTGAGTTCTACTCCAGCCAGCTTAACCAGCAAAACACCACATGACTCTTTTCTCCATGAAGATGTAACAGGTAAAGTGATGGGAATATGTTCAATTTCTAAACCATTCTCAGTTACCCGGTATAATCGTCATCGTAGTTTAACATCCCTTCTTATAAATTCTGCTGGAATATCTGAAGATCTTATCAATTTTGATATCAGTCGAACACGTCTTAGAAATAACATTATTCCACCTATGGCCATCCCAGTGCTGACGTTGCTGCGGCCTCTTCCTGAGCTCGCTCACCGCCGAGCCGGACCGGTGGGCCTGCGGTACCTGGACTAGGCGCAAGTGATCGCCCGCCCACCGCAAGACCAGGCCACCACGTTGGGGGCCCCCCCGGGCCGCCCCGCCTTGTTGGTGGCTTCCCAAGACCGCGCCAGAATCAGCTTTCTTGCAGGTGTGGATGCAGGTAGCAGGTCTGCTTGGGTGGGGATCCGACTTGGGGAACCTGTCAGTCTCCCCTTGCTAGGGAAATCCTAAGTTATGTGCCAACTGCTTTTAACTCATGTACTACTATTTTGAATTTGTATTTCAGTATTTCTCAGAGTAATTATTGTTTCTATCAAAACAACTGAGACAACTGACAGGCTGTCAAGATTTAAAACATTAATTCCATGTAATATTTCATGTTTAAGTGAATCATGCAATTAGCCAACCTGGATTATTTTCACCATTAGACAATAAAAAATAAAGATGTATTGTGGCTTGTAGATTTCTCATTGTAAATTTATAAACATGCATTTTATCAAATTCTTATTCATACTTACAATATCTTATCTAGAATATGATTGAGTTTTAAATATTTACCTTTATTCTACTCAGATGTAATTTCTGTGTTATTTATCAATGTTGTGTAAAAATGTTAGACAGAGTACAAGACTATTGTTTTGTTTTAACCATAGCTTTTGTCTTCTGTATTTCTGGTCCTTTGAAATCTTGGGACCTTATAAACACTGGAAGGGAACGTGCCCACCGATAGCAAACACCTTGCCACTGATGCAGTCTTTATATGCAATCAGTCCGTCCTCCGCACTCCCAACCGGCTCCTTTCTTGGGTTCTCACCCTTCAGCTACTCCCCTCTGCCCTGATCATCCCAGGGTCAGATGCCAGACAAGGAAATGCAGCCTCTATGCCTCAGAGCCCACTGAAATTACTCCAACTAGCTGACCCTAACACCAGCTTACCTTGCTATATCTGTTCTTTCCAACAGAAATCACCGTACGTTACCTGCCTGCCTTTCTCCCTCATTCTCCCCACCTCCAGACTGACCCTGGGACTTGCCCACTGGCCCTGCATGCCCTTTTCCTCCCTGAAATAAACTATCTTTTCAATGGCAGTTGTCTCCTGGACTGTCGGTTTCATTATATTTGAGTAATAAAATCTACTTTTTAAAACACACACACACAATCTTACCTACAGCCTTCGACCCCTCCCCTAAGTTTAGGATCATAAAGCAAAAACATCCCAGGTCTTTGGTGCAGCACCCTCCTCCCTTCTTGAGTGCACCAGACCCCTGTATAAAACCTGCTATGTTGTCTTCCTGCTGTTATAAACAGCACACATGAAACCACTTGTTTTCGTGAGGAAAAGAAAAGTTTATTCCAGTGAACAGAGACTAAAATCAAGGATAGGTTCTAGCAGCTAGCACGGAAAGAAAACTAGGCTTCTATAGATTTGGGGGAAGGGGCTATAGTCATAAGGAATGTTAATGATTTGGGTGCCTGAGGACAGTCTGCGCTGGTGTATGGACAATCACTGGCCTTCTTGGTACCAGAGGGACTGTGTACTTCCCATTTGTCCTATTTACCGAGAGGTTGCTGTTGTTTGCTAAAAGCAGCCTGTTTGCTTTGTCCTGTTTGTTCACTTAGGCCAGCCATGACCCCTGCTGCCTGCATTGTGTCTTCCCTTCACTGCAGGTCCCCCGCCGCCATCTCGCGGGGACTCCTAGAATCCAGACGTTTCCACCCTTCACAATGCACCCCCAATCCCAGAAAGAGTCTCCTTAAGCCTCTCAGGCTGGTCCCAAACTCTGGGTGCAAGCGTTCCTACTGCAGCTCCTAAGTACAAGCCTTTTTTGTGGAGACAGGTCTCACCATGTAGTTCAGGCTGGCTTCGAACTCCTGAGGGCTAAGATTGCATAGAGCATGCGCCACCATGGCCCGCCATTGTCTCCATATTTTGAATACCACAGGAAACCACTATTATTGGTTTGTACACTCCATGCTTTAGATTTTGTCATACATTTGCCACTTTTATACTCAATTTTTTCTTGTATCAGTGAGCTTTTTTCCTATAGTATAGCCTTTAGCCTTAAGTGTATCTTTTAATATTTGTCTGTTGCTGATTGTTTTTGTATAACGTGTGTGTGTGTGTGTGTGTGTGTGTGTGTGGTACTGGGGATTGAACACATGGCCTTCTCACTGAGCTATATCCCATCCCTTTTTTATTTCTTATTTTGAGATATTGTCTCATTAATTTGCTAAATTGCCCAGACTGGGTTTGAATTTGGGATCCTCCTATCTCAGCCTCTCAGAATGCTGGGATTACAAACAAGTGTGCACCACCACACCCAGCAATTTCTCACTATTTATGGGGGACCAATATTCCACTTTTTTTTTTTTTTTTTTTGGTATTGGGGA